TTAGGTTAAATGTTGTATAGTGAAAATACTATAAAAATAAATCTTTCGTTTAACCTCTTTTAAACGATTTGCAGACAGTATATTTGAATTAAAGAAGGGTCATATTAAAATTGAGATCCAGCAAACATTCCTTAGGGCAATGCCTTCGCAAGATTCTGAAAGAATTATTTGTTGAGGCCCTCATGGGATTTTAGTGTCATATTACGCCCAAAGTGTGACAGCTTCTACTTTGAGCTTCCATCTTTCACATAAACAGTAGGAAAAACGTGCCTTGAAAATGTGTTATAAATGATTAATATAAAATTGTTTTGTACAATGCTTTTAATTAAAAGACGTCTGCCTGGAATTTGGTTTTATTAATTATTTATAAACATTCTTTTTAATTTTTAAAAGTAGAAATTGCAGCTTATTTCATAAAAGATAAGGGAGAACTATTATTTCCCTTCAAGATTGTGCTTAATTTTTGGTTGAACTTCATCAATCAATATTTTTTTTTAAATGAAAACAAACTATATAATTATTGTCTTTGCTCTATTTACATTATCCATGTATTTTTTTTCAGTATCACTAACAGTTACAGAAAAGCTTAGTATTTGGAGTATATAATTACACAAAGTAAGTATGCTGACTGATCTTATGGAGCCATGTTAGGCCTACTGACTAAAATAAGCTATTTTTAACAAGGAAGAGAAATCGACTATTAGAAGTGTAATGAAATCAACGGTGTTCATGTGTGTGATTGAACTGCTACGTAATTCTTTTTGGTTTTCTTTTTTCTTTACTTTTACGGAGAGTTTTTATGATTTTAGGGATCACAAATATTGTTTTAAATATCCCAGAAAGCTGTATTATCCAAAGATAACTATCAAGAAGAATATTTCTGTGTAATAAAATCATCCATCATTTGATTTCTTGGAATTTGTCAATATCTCCTAGGATAATGGCTAGTTAGTGTAAGTAATACTCAAGACTTTTCCTTTTTTGAGAAATAACTTTTTTCATTAGAAGACACACTATTTTTTCCACTTATTATAGATTTAATTTCTCCTCTTTTTTCATAAATTAATTTGAAATGAATGATTTTTCTATATTTCAATAAGAAAACTTATTTGAATCTCAGGTGGTTAATGTAACGTTTGGGCAGTTACAGTTAGGCTCTAAGTCTGACAAAGGCCCAAGTAACAATTATCTAGGCCATAACTTGGACCTTCGTGGCTGCAGGATTAGACCTTTATTGCTGTTTGTGGCTGTGAGAGAATTTTATCAACAAATAATTCAATTCTATGATTATTTTAGTAGGTTATGTTTCCAAAACAAAATACCGAATATTTTGCCCCTCTTTCTGTTGAAAAAGATATTATCTAGCCTAATGTTAAAACAAAAGAACAACATCTTAAGTTTTATGGAATTATGGTTTTTCATAATAAAGTAGTAAATTACCATATAAATATTAAGGAACTAAACAGATATGAAAGAGATATCGTTCAGATATGAATTAACAAGGTTTATCGCTTGGGGGATATATTTTCATACTAGTTTCACCTATGAAATTTTTCGAGATCTTTGTGCAAGTACATACAATCAATCGTTACTCATATAAGAGTATAGGTTATTTAAAAGTATAAAATATCATACATTGAAGTAACGAGTTATAACATGTTTTATTTGACGAGTCTTGTATAATACTCGGGACAACAAACAATGGCAGACGTATAAATCACATTATCAAGCAGCCAAGTTATTCCAGTTTGAAATATTTTCTGTCACGTTATTATATGGTTTGGGTTGTGAGTTTTAAAATTAATTTGTATTACTATTATCGAGAAAGCAGTTATTCATCATTGCGTATGATTTTATAGTGTAAATTTGTAATTTATCACAGGAAACTAACACGTTACAGTTAAAAGTCACAATATTCAGGAACGCAGGTCATATGGACGTTTGATAAATAAAATCAACATGAATGTCTCCAGCTCCTTCAATATAAAACAAGTGGTAAATCACATAAGTAAGTTCAGCAGTGTAATAAAGAATGAGAGTTAATATTAACCAGCAGACACCAGCAGTGGCTTGCCACAAGCTTTGCTGCGCTGTAAATTAAATTTTGGTTGGAATTAAAAAGAGACATGGAGACTAGTGTGCGCGTGGGATAGGAAATGGTCTTGTCCAAATAAATATATATTCCACAATTCTCGTGAATGTTTAGCAGTGTAGATTTGATTTATTTTAAATTTATTTGCTACCGTAACAAAAAGTATGGCTATAATGTATCTCGCCACAATATGCATTATGCTGTTGTGACACTCAGCTTCCAAAGCCAATATTGTTGAGTTATTCATCCACTCTGGCAATGTCCCAAAACTACACAAATATCTTTGTTATATATTATTATTATGTTAGCTTATATTTCTATTGTTTGTATATATAGGGAATAGTGTTTTTTAACCTTTAATACCTCTTATTATTCATGCTTCACCCAAATAAGGTTGGTTAATATACCTTATAAACTGCCCCATAACGCATCTAAACAAACAAATTAACCAGCTTAAGCCACCCAGGAAACAAATATGCAGCATTACGTTTTTTACAATTAAACATAGTTCAACAGTTACGTTCAACATTGAATATATTGTCTAGTTTTGTCTAGTTAATATACAAAATTATATTACATCCGGTATACAATATATGATGAGAATTTCAAAACCAATAAAATATTTTTTTTACCCAGTTCCTTATGGTAGAAAAGAGATAAAAGAACGAAATACAAATATTTAAATACATAATCATAACGTTAACGTAAATTAAATTGACAGAACAATATTATTTACACGTATGTATTTCCTCGATATAGGAACTGTTACTTTAACGCAGTTAAATTGTGGCAAACATGGCGCTAATACCTTGATTAGGCAACTTATAATTAGTTTATGACAGGTAATGTCACACATTAATCTGCGCTTGTATACCTTGTCAAAGGTATTAATTAAGCGTGATTTGGATCCAATGGCGTTATACTAAACATTAATTACATTTTAACTTTGTACGTATCAAAACATTCATGCTGTGTGGTGTGTTGAAGCATTTACTTTATTACTATAGAAAAACTGTTTGCATATAATTCATTCGTGGTAAATGATTGGTACTCGTTGATACGGGGTTTACCATGGCAATACTTTTTAAAACGAAAAATGCTATGCCAAAAATGTAAAAAAATGATCAAATGGACACTGGCTGGCAAAGAAAGTAGTAGATACAATTGGTAAAGAGCGAACCACAGACAGAGACAAAAACAGTCCAGTTATTATAGTCAAGCATGTAATCTACATGTTGTAGCGTTCATTTGGTAGTTACATGTATAGTAGTGTAAAGTATTTCAGCGATTTATAAATCTTTACCTAATACGACAGCTCATCGTGTGATAGATAAATATACAAATGTTATCTGTTTTGAAAAGTAAATACATTTATTTTATGTTTGGACTAGTTGGAATACATTTTCTAATATACAAAATCTCCTTTAGATACTTTTTTCATTTTCCAATACTTACGCTAAGTTGTATTTTATGAAATTAAATTTAGTCCAAACAATTATTCATCTTTTTAATCTTCATGGGTATAAACCCTTGCTAGAGTTTTCCATCGATGCCTCTTATAGGTGACACGTTTACAATTTATTATCCTATACTATTCAACTACTGAGGTGTGTTGAAAAATTGAATCGGTATTATTTTTATGGAATGGCAGTGGATACTTGTTATTTTGAAAATGAAGCAGTGGTTTGAGGAATAACTTTGTAAACAGTTGTTTAAGTTTTTGATAATCAGACATACTATTTAAATAAAAATTAAACAAAGATTCTTGTTAATTTAAATTATTTTGTTATTACTCAATTTTTTTTATTCAACTCTAGAGGATATATTCAAGACATTGATGATTTAAAATGGTTGTAGGACTACATTGTTTAAGCATATGTAGGTCTAAAAATTCAACAAATGATATTTACTGCAACTTCTTGAATAAGGTTCTATAAACTAAAACCTACGTATTTTATTTTAAACTACATACCCAACATACTCAATTATACCGCAGACTCAACTTATAGCCATTTCAACAGTTGAAATGATTTGTTCACAACTTATTTACATTATAAAGTAACCTACTTATTGATCCTTCGAGTGCTGATTCCAATTTAATAACTTACTTCAGTATAAAACTATGATTATGGATAAAATTGTAAAGACAAATTTTTAATATTTAAATAGTTTTCAAGAACTTGTAATAGCAAAACTTAAAACCAGATTAAATCCCTGAAAAAGAATCAATTGAATTCAGATAATATATTGTTAGACTTTTGTGTTTAACTATTTCTACGTATTTTACGTTCTAAGTGGCCACATTAACGTAATGGGGTCTGCCAGATCACACAGTATTAGCAAATTAATTAATTACGTTAACTAGAATACCAAACAAATCCACCTTTATATGTACACTAATGCAATCGGATGTGAAAACAGCACTAAGCTGGTAACTATTGATGATCTATTTAAACATAACATTGGTATCTCAAATACAAACTATTGGATATACCATAGCATTTGAACTGGGATCTGCAGAGTTCATTCTCTTGGGCTGGAAGATGTTACTACCCTCAAGTCTACCTTTTGCAGCAAGAGTATGTTCTGGTCTGAAAAATATTGACCTCAAAGTACTATTCAGTACAGTATAAGGCTATAGAACAAGGCGTGATAATGGTGATCTAGTATAGTTTGACGATAATCTCTCTAAGCTTCTTTAGAAGGAAGAGGACGCTTAACCACTTTGTCTATGTCTACAACAATATATTAACATCGGGTCTACAAGCCTATAAGCTTCACAGTCACAAATTTTTCTACACCAGCGGAGTGCAGATTGCTAATTGCGATTTGGATTAACTGAAGCGCATTTAGATATACTTATCTAATCTGCATTAATGATTTCAAATTCACTTTTATCATTCGTTGAAGGTACTCAAGATAGGTGTTGCAACATCCATACCACTAACAACATTGAACTGTTCCGTATGAAATTTCCTTAGCGTCTCTTGAATTATCTAGGTAAGAAAAATCTCTTACGATGTTCAATTATATCAAAATTAAATCTATAACACATTTTACAGAGCTAATTACAATTACTTTTTCCCTTATAGCAGAGATCAAAACAGCATATTTTAACTATAATTATTGCAGTTATCCTACGATGAATAAGTTATACTTTGACAGCCTTTTAAGACCAATTTTTATGTACTAGTTTATGGCATTCTCTATTTAATTTACCTTGCACGCCAAGTTCAATACCGGAACCAATCTATTGTATTGCATACAACTACAAAGTAATGCAATTTTCATATTTAATCATTCCCTCTGCTAATAAAAAAAGGATTTCTTATTGTGGTAAGGATATATAATCGTATGTGGTGATGAAAACATTACCGCTTTGGTGATGGAGCGGCTTATAAAATAGTGAAACGGTTCGTCAAGCCTGAGATAACTACATATATTAGATAACAAGTGAAACGACACAGTCAAGGGCATTACCGCATAGATAAACTCTATTTTAGTTGTATTTAAACCTGTGACAGTAGACAGATGCAGAGTTCTGTATCATATAGTATTTACTATCGCTATTAAAATATTATGAGTAAACATTTTAACAGCTAATCAAATGTCATACGACTTTATAGAAGTTGAAAATGACAAGGACATCTGATAATAAAGATGATGAGCCTGACAAGACAAGACAACTTTGGAGCAAAGTTCAATCGATCCAATCACCGTTTAACTGGAGTTTGCCTGAACTTCGCATTGAGACCGAAAAGTACATTAGTAACCAGAAATCAAAATGTGAAGTAATCGAAGAGGATAACCAGTTCCAATGGACAAGGTAAGACATATCGTAAGAGGTTTGTATAAAACAAAGGGGAAACTAAGGGGGAATTATTTTGTGGGGCAAATGTATCAAAAGTCGTGACACCACCTAAATTATATAGAGTAGGAAAGGTATATCAATACTAAATCATTTATAGTAGTTTCCGCAACGATCGCTAGTGATCATATTGACACAAGAAAAAACGTAAGGCCAATGCGCGTGCTTTAAGACTTCTACGAATGTCAAAAAGGCTAATATCGTAAGCTGCTAACACTACTTAACCTAAGACCGTTTTTATGTTATGTTAACTCTTTTTATCAACTTTTAAGTTGTAAAAAATTAAGTTCATTTTTTCCATCCCCTCCCCAATCTATGAAATAACATATAATGATAGATGATCAGATGAGATTAAGCTAAAACAGTGATAGGGGAACACAGGAAGTCCTTCCCTCAGAGAACCTAAATTTTGTGAACGGGCTTTAGTGGTGTAACGCAAGTAAACAGTGCGTTAAGTGAATCTTTTTGATTCTAAAATAGTTATTTGTGTAACTAGTGTGCAAAGTGGCACTTTGCTGCACACGAGAGCAATGTTTTGCACACGAGGCCTTTTGCACCCGTGTTACACATTATATTTTCCTACAGTCACTAAAGCATATAAATAATTATATAGTCTTTCAAACACTATACAACATGTTTTTAGGTTCAGTTGGCAACACAAATAGGTGCCCTAGAGAAAGTAGTCACCGGTCCGTATCACTCCGCTATTTTTTCCTCGGCAAGCAATGTGCTCCGCGACTTGAGAAAATAGTTCCATATGTTTATGTCATTTGAAGTTGTTTCTGCGCCTAAAAAAATGCTTTAAAGGTATTTTCTTGTTTATTAAGATCGTAGGAATGTTTTAAAAACGTTTAAAAGAAAAGCCCAGAAAGTTCAGAAATACCGAAACTATAAACACGAAATGACAGGTTAAATCTTAGTTATAATAGTTAATCAGCTGCTCATAGTATTATTACCTTTAAGTGTTGCCAACCTATTTCAAAGCGTACACGGATTACGTGCATAATAGAACCACGCTGTTTTGTGTTGTTTCGTTGGAATCCTGATGTGCGCCAAAGTATAAACCGTACGACAAAGTATAAATATGCAGCAATTAGTAGCTTTCTGTACTATAAACAGTACAAGGAAGCCAACTTTGTCGGGTGACTGTAGGAAAATTAAATTGAAGAGGCTAGTTAAAAAAAATGTCGTATGTAAATTAGTTACGAAACACTTTTGTCCATATTATATACAGATTTATACACTAAGAAATGGATTATTGTTGTGTTAATGTTAATTTGCAAACGGTTAAACTATTAAGCTAAACAAAAGCTGTTATCTGAACATTGTGTGGAACCAATTAGATGGTAGTACGAAAAGAAAGAAGAATGTAAAACTATGTATGTGTTATGGTATGTTTTACTAAGAAATGTTAACATCTCAACTCATGTTAACTCAACGTAAGATTTGTGGATGTATCTAAAGAGGTATTAAATAATAATAGTGCAATACACAATAATGCCTTCATCAACCTATATAGCGTTCTTCAGTCCATTCTGATTATGAGAATAACTTTTGTCCCAATAACCAAAGAACAAATTAATTATAATAAACTACAAATATAGACAAAAAAATAACAATTTAAAGCTTAAATTTCTTAGTAAAACAGGCATAAATGACGATTTACCATTAACCAGAGCACTATTGGTTGGTTTTTATACAAACAATTGAGAAATACATATATGTGTTTTGAGGCCAGATGGGAGGATATTTGTACGTACAGTCTTGGTATGAGAAGCTTATTGGTCAATCTAATGGGCTTCACTCACCTTAATTTGGTTATCCAGGACTCATCAAAATGTACACACTATGAAAAAACATTTACACACACATAAAGAATCTTCCTCGGATTTACTCCGACGTATGAAGCAGGTGACTTACATTTGGGGTTCTGCGCTGAGGTACATCATTTGAAAGAATAGCCTCTCAAGAATATGCTGTAGCTCTTATATGAGAGCCTTGGCTCCATGCAGCACTTTGTGGCCCAAAATCTGCAGTTGTTGTATTTAGTGTATAGCCTCTACTTCTACAGACATGCTGTTTATATGAGTAGGGAGACAGTAGGTGCACACTGACATGATTGGGTATGAAGCGCAGCTTCACAGATTCTGGCAGCAAACGTTTAAATGAGTAACAGAAGCTATAATAATTGCTAGTTAAATAATTGGTCCACCAGTACAGTATATTATACAGTGTGTAAATTAAGTATTAAAACAAATCTGTATTTTTTAAACAGAAATAGATAGAAATATTCTGTTTGTGGCAATAATTGTAAACAAAAGGTCTGCAATTTTACATAAACAATATTTTTAACCCCCCTAACAGGGTTGGGGGTAGAAGTTGACCTACATTTTTTAAATAGAAACCCCTAATGACTGACCCCTCATTTTGAAGGATTTTTCAAAAGAAACACAATGACACAAATCTGAGGTGGATATCTCATCCCTAGGCAAAATAGCAGGTGTTCAGAAATTTGATTTATTTGAAAAAGCACCCATTATTGGTTACTTAGTTATTACCTTCAATTTGAGACTTCAACCTGGAAAATCGGTCGAGTACAAGAGCCAAACGAACTCGGAAAAGAAAAACTTTTTTTTGAATAGGCTATATGTATAGTGTGTAAATTAAGTATTGAAACAAATCTGTATTTTTTAAACCTAAATAGATAGAAATATTCTGTTTGGGGCAATAATTGTGAACAAAAGTTCTGCAATTTTGTATATCAAAAATATTTTTTAACCCCCCTAACAGGGTAGGGGGTATGGAGTGACTTATTTTTTTCAAATAGCAACCCCTATTGGGTGACCCCTCATTTTTAAGGATTTGTCAAAAGAAACACAATGACGCAAATCTAAGGTGAATATCCCACCCCTATCCATAATGGTGGGTATTTAAAAATGGGTGTATTTCTTATGGGAGTTAAATTTGGTTTTTCTTTTCCGAGTTCGTTTTGCTCTTCTACCTAACCTATTTTAACGATTGAGGTCTCAAATTGAAGGTATCCACGCACGAATTTCACATCAAGCATCGGCTAATATTTATCTACATTCCCACTCGCCTTATATGCTACGTTAACTATATTTGCTCCCCATGTATTTCTTATAGGAGTTAAATTTGGCCTTTCTTTTATTGTTCCAAATTTTTTTGCTCAATAGGTCCAGTATGTTTTTTATTTGTTTTAGACTCAACATATTCAGTTAATTGTAGACTTTAATTTGAGCAATTAATCGTTTGAATCAGTTAACTTCAAGATACTGTAATACTCCATCAAAAATCATAAATTTGATTATTTGTTGGATACGATAGGCCTATGTAAATTAACGCTGCCAAGCAGCATGGGTCCTCTAGTTATTAATTAACAAAACACATACAGTATCTAAAACATAAAGAATACTATTGAATTATTACAAAGCTCTGTTAGTGACTCAATTATTGAGTTTTATATGGATAACAAGAGTTACAGCTTGTCCATAAAGATGTCATATTTCATTCATTATCCAAGGTTGATTGCATTATATCAAAAATGTTTAGAGGAAGTTTTGTCATAATCGTGTCATAATGTGTCATAATTCTGTGCTCGGTGTTATTCTTGCACTTCTTAAGTGTCTGAGTGGTACTAATACGATCATTAATATTCGCCACAGATTTGTCTCCCATCTTATTCTGAGCTATGAACTGTGCAAGCTGAATAATTACACAGAAGCCCTGGAGAGTATCAACTGGTGCCAGGAACATTGGAACTCCTTGTCAGACTGTAATGAGCCACTTTTTCTTGATGTGAAGGAGGTCATGGCTCACGTCATATTGGCCACCAAAGCTCGAATCCTTTTGTCAGCTGGGAAAGGCGATTTGGCTGAAAAGGTAAACAGAGGAAAAGGTAAAACTAAAATGAGGTAAGCTGCTAGCATATCAGTCAACGGATTTCTCCTATAAACTCGATTTTCTTATAAAGAGTTTGTCCGTAAAATATTAGTTGATTCTACAGCCAATCAGTACTTTGTTTATTACAAATTAGGTTGAGCTTTTATTCACTGATTAAGAGTTTTACGGTTTAACCTTAAATCGTAAGGATAAAGGTTTATGCTGAAAACACAATCGTCTGTGATAAAACTGTAGCATTACATTATTTTTATTTTACCGGTTAAATATGGTACTAAGTTATTTAATTAGACAGAGAATAATATTTTGAATCAGTTTTAAATGCGCAATAACATGACATGTTTTGTTGCAAAGGAGTTGTATTTGTTGGAGCATTATCCATATGGTGATGTCAGACCTCTTCGTACCATGAAGAACCGAGCGGGTTTGCTAGGATTGAAGGCAGCTACATACTTACAATACCATACAGGACAAAGCTTAGCAATCGAGGCGGCCAGAGGTGCCAAGAACCTCGACCCAGATCAAGCAGAATGGTGGTTTATCCTTGGAGTTGCTCTTGGTAAATAATCATTTACTGTTGAAGGCAACAGCTGAGAAGTTTGCAAAACAAAACCATGTGTTATTAATGCTATTAGCATAGTTGTTTTGTTTGCTTTCGGACCAAAAACGTCGTTTTTTTATGTTTATGACCCATACCGGTATTTTTCTAGTATTCGTGGTGAATGTTCAAGTAGTTTCTCATCACTTGTAATGTCATAAAGACACTGTAAAGTGTTGCTCTAATGTCCTATAAAATTAGTGGTATTAATACTTGTAAATACTTGATTCCAATTTGATTCGTAAATTAAAAATTTCACTATCCTCAACAAGACGTCTTCTTACATTCATCTTCAATTAGAGATTAGAAAGAACCTATGATGTTTTTTTTCAGCTGTGTGCCTTGATGACCACATAGTTTCGTTAAAAACCCACGTCCGCACAGTATGGGTATATGCTGTTTGTGTAGTAGGTATAGTAGTAGGTATATGTGTAGTAGTTTAGTATATATATATATATGTGTGTGTGTGTGTGTGTGTGTGTGTGTGTGTGTGTGTGGTTAGTATTCACTATTATAAACAGTTTAATATTATACATCTTGGTTGAATGGAAATGACGGAGTGGATAAATTTAATAGGCCTGACATTAAAAATGTTTGATTTTAGGCAAGGCTCGAAGATCTAGGGTTGGTGGTAAACCCAATTTCTCAGAAATATCAACAGAAGAAATAGAATCTATTGAGAAGGCCTTTACTCTACAGAAGGATGCATCATACACTGTACATCTGGCTCAATTATATGGGGATCTATCCGTAAAAATGGGTACAAAATGGGACACCGAAAGATCTAGGCGATACGCTGAAAAAGCAGAGATGAGATATCGGTAATAATTCAAACTAATTTAACTAATTGACTAATTTAATCTCCTAGAAATAATAGGTACATTTTTAGTTAAGCACAACATTATAAAATAAAGCAATGCTACCATGTATTTTATATATAGTTTTTTATACAGGGTGTATATAAAGTCCCACGCGGGCTTAATATTTTCCAAACGACAACAGATAAATCAATAAGATTGGTACATGAATACCACACCTAAAGCTAGCTCCAAGGTTCAGAGGTCACCACCACCTGGACCTTTCAAATGCAATAAGGAGCTCCCACATTTAGGATCTCCTTCGGCAAGTGGAGCTGGGAACGGGATGCTGGCGTCAAACTGGCGTTGCCAGCAACTCTCCTGTCGATCAGTTCTGCTGTAGGGATGTCGGAGAAGCCTGTCACAGCAACGTTGCGGTCGGAAGGCTCTGAGAAGGTGCTTCTACGTCAGGAATATCTTGACGCAGAGAGTAGCATCGAAACCCGGCTCCAAGACATGGAAGAGACGATTAAGGCCATGCAGGACACCTTCCGAACCCAGAAAGTCGTAAATCAAGTGGTCAAAAATGGCATTGCCAAACTAGAGAATGACCTTCGCTTCGTTTTAGCCTGTCGGGTGGTGAGCAAGGCGACCTTGGGGAAGATTGCCAAGAAGGTTGTGTCTCTGCCCGATAAAAGAACGCTGCCTACTAAGAAACGTCGGAGGCCTTCCACATCGAACAGTCCTCAAAAAGAGAAGCATCCAGCCCAAAGGACCACGGTAAAGGCCAAGGCAAGGTCGGACGGACCTATCGTCTCCTGTGCCCACTGCCCAGATCCTTTTCGGACGTAACTGCAGCTCCAGTGAAGCACCAACAGCCACGGCTACCTAGACCCCCCTTTCAGGGTAGTTCCCGGAAGGGGTCAGTTGTAGAGACACCTGGAGCTGTGTGAGAAAAACGCCGTTCCCGAAAGGAGAAGAGGCAATTGAGGCGGGCGGAGGTCACCTCTATGAAGAATATGGCAGTGAACATGGCACAGCCAACCGGCGTGGCCCAAACTAGGCCTGGCTCGGTCTCTGCTCCGAAAAAGTCGCGGCAAAAAAAGCCCAGGACGAAAGGCAATCCTGGTCAAACCCTCAGGGGGGAGATCTTTCACCAAGGTCTTGGATGCAATTAAGGCCAAGGCTAAGCTAGAGCAGACCGATACGGTTGTACGGTCGATTAGAGGAACCCGGGACGGGGACGTTCTCCTCGAACTGGGTAAGTCGAAAGACAGAGCCGGTTTTACTTCCGAACTGAAGGCAGCTGTTGAAGGCCACGGTACCGTCCCTGCTCTTGAGCCAAAGACATAAGTCATGGTTCGAGACATTGATTCTCTGTCGACGGAGGTTGATGTTGTCGAGGCCTTGAAGAAAGCCATCCCCAAGCTTGGCGGGAAAACGGCTTTTCTTAAGGTGTGGCTCACAAAACCGAATCGGAGTCATCAGCGGATGGCGGTCGCCGAAATGGCAGACGCACATGCCAATAAGGTGCTGGCACTCCAGCATTTGAGAGTCGGCTGGGTCAACTGCAGGCTCAGACAGAGGGTGGAATTGAAGAGGTGTTTTGAAATTCTCTGTTTCGGCCATTCCTCTCGTGACTGCAAGGGGCTCGACCGAAGCAAGAAATGCATTCGGTGCGGGGAGGTGGGTCACATCCATAAGGACTGCCAAAGTCGAGTCCTGTTTCCTTTGTAAGGAAAATGGGCTCGCTGACAAACACTTGAAGCATATAGCTGGGTCTGGGCGTGTAGTGTATTTAAATCTGCACTACAGTAAGCGAAGGCCCTCCCGCGAAGATAAGAATCCTTCAGTTCAAATCCTTCAGTGCAATCCTGAGCGATCCAGGACGTCTGGTGCACTTCTCTGTCAGCTCTCCCTCGAACACGATGTTGACGCGCTCTTAGTTAGCGAACAGTACCAGTACCAGGATAGGGGCCCATCTTTTTGGTTCCCTGATAGTTTTGGTACTGCTGCATTCTGGGCGCGTAATGCAGCTAAAGTACTAGTGTGGGGTCACGCGAAGGGCCGAGGTTTCGTTTGGGTTCTGTGCCGGGAGGTCACTTACTTTAGTGTCTACCTCACTCCCAACGAGGCCATCCGTGACTATCTAACCTATCGTAAGAAGTTAGACCACCTGGAAGAGAGCGTGCGCCACACCACAGAACACGTCGTCGTGGGTGGGGATTTTAATGCTATTGCTGTATAGTGGGGAATGACCCTCACCAATTCCTGGGGTAAGTACATTCTGGACCTTGCTGCCAGAGCTAAACTCGGGTCGTCAACGAGGGCAACACGCCAACTTTCCAGCACCCTGGGATGCGGGGAACAATCTCAGACATTACACTTACATCTGAGTCTCTTTTGCCAAGGATCAGAGCCTGGAGGGTCCTGGAAGAAAACACGGCCAGTGACCCCCAGTACAGTTTTTGATGTCCTGGATGGTCTTCAGAGACAAGTAGCCGCGTATCGTCAAGTACCCGTTCGATGGAATAAAAAAAAATTTAAGTTCCAAAATTCAATGAAGCCAACTTACGAGGAACGCCGGTGGTTCCTCCCGCAACTAGCGTGGCTCACGCAGAGGTGTTAGTTACATCCATGATGGGGATGATCGTCTCGGCTTGCGATGAGTCTATGCCTCGCAGGAGATCTCGATGAAATAAGCGACCTGTGTACTGGTGGACTGCAGAGATTGCGGAATTGCGTCGGGCAGCATTGAGATCCAGAAGACTGTCTAACAGGGCCACAGAACCTGTAGACATACGTCATAAGTCGGATGCTTACAAATTAGTTAGAATGTCTCTTCGTTGAGCTATCAACCGGAGTAAACAGAGTTACTGGGAGACGTTAAGGGACGATAAGAAACGTGGCACCCGCTCTCTTCCTTCTGTCATGGATGGGACCACTATGGGGAAAATAGTCAAGTCCCTTTTTCTGGCTCACACGTTGCGCCCACTGCGGGATTCCGGAAGGGTGGATGACGTACCACTTTTCAGTCTTGGATAGATGGAGGTGGCCGACCTATGCCTGAAGAACAATAAGGCTCCTGGACCTGATAGGGTACCAGGCGAAATCCTCAAGAAGGTTTTTACTACTAATCCCTTGATCCTTTTGAGCATGTACAACGCCTGCCTAGTCGAAGGAGTTTTTCCCTCGTGCTGGAAAACAGCTAGACTTGTGCTTGTTTGAAGGGGAAGGGAGACCCAGACCTGCCATCCTCTTACAGACCTCTGTGTATGTTGGACATGGCTGGCAAAGTCCTCAAGACGTTGATCCGTTGCCGGCTAAATTCAGCCATGGTCGCTGCGGGGGGCCTGTCTCCTCGTCAGTCATTCAGGATGGGGCGATCTACGGTTGACGCTATTGAGGAGGTGAAACAAGCCAAGGGAGCCGTGGAGGTTCAAACCGTTTGTTCTGCCAAGTACCTTGGGATCATGGTGGACAGCAAGCTTAGCTGGCGGGATCAGATCTTCCGTACAGGGACGAGGCCGCTAGGGTGGTTTCTTCTCTTAGCCGGTTGATGGCCAATGTCGGATGTCCGCGGTCCAGCCACAGAAGGCTGTTAATGTCTGCGGTCCAGTCCGTGCTCCTGTACGGTGCGGAAGTGTGGGCAGACGCACTTAATAAGGAGGCATACAGGATGCGGCTCTCCCGAGTGCAGCGTCAGGTAGCACTAAGGGTAGCATCTGCCTACCAAACAGTGTCCGAGCCCGCCATCCTGGTGGTTGCTGGAGTCATTCCCGTCAAACTTTTCGTGGCGGAGAGAAAGGCAATTTACCGGCACCGTGGGGAGGACCAGGCACGAACAGAGGAACGCACCCGCACCACAGAAAACGTACTACTATACCCAGAATGCCAACCGCATGGTAAAAAGCATTAAGCGGTTTGAGAGAGCTTTGCCTGTCAATCCGTAGGCAACGCCACCAGCGTTGCCATGCAATAGCATAGCAACGCTGGTGGCGCTGCCTACGGATTGACAGGCAAAGCTCTCTCAAACCGCTTAATGCTTTTTACCATGCGGTTGGCATTCTGGGTTATAGTAGTACTTTTTCTGTGCCCGCACCTACCAGCTGTGGCAGGTGAGCTGGGAACAGGAGACACGGGGACGCTGGACCAGACGACTGATACAGCAAGTCCAACCTCGGTGGTACGGAGAGGTGGACTTCTACCTCACCCGATTTCTGAAGGGTCACGGCTTTTTCCGGTCGTACCTGTTCAGAATGGGCAAAGCCGTGTCACCCGACTTGGGATCTGCTCCAGTGGTTTTTAAAGTTCCCATGTTATCCTCGTGAAGAACATATTTGTTTGCATTATGATTAGCTGGATAACTTAATTGATGTTAAATAAGTTGCAATTCAAGGAAACACATGTATAAATATTTACTGATTTGGTAGAAATGAAATATTTAATATTTGAATTTGGTTTTGCGTACATATTACGATGGGAAAAGCGAGGAAGCCTCGACAATTTGATATATTTAAACAAATAAGAAAAATAAAGTCGGAACTTTGGAAACGGGAAAGTCATAGAACGCCACTAAGTAAAAGAAGTTGATGTAATATTTTTTTTTACTTATTATCGTTGTAAACCTATATAAAGATTCCTACAAACGAGGTTGTTAGCCGAATTGATACCATTTTTGGTACCAGAAAGCATTTTTAGTAGGAAACGTGGACTTTTGTGATAATTGCAGAGGAAACCCCTCTAAGGCTAAATAAAACTGGTACGTCAAGGACATTAAAACTTATAAGTTTCTATAAAAGTCAAGTGATTTTCAAAGAACATGCCTATATATCCAAGAAAAATTTACTAAAACATTCATTGAATGATTCAATTCTTAATCACAGTAAACGGAAATAAAAAATCAACTGAACATCATCAGGCCTTTTAACTCTGCATTTTCCCAGGTGAATAGAATTGACGTTATTACAACAACCAGCCAAAAGAATGACAATTAAAGCTAATAAATTTGTCACAGACAAATAATACAGGAAATCAGGTTGTACTTAAGTGTGAACAATTTTTTTTTATTACTGAAATTTGTAAACATACTGGTACAATTGTGGTACCATGCAGGCTATCAATGGCAAAGATACACATAATCTTATGCGGTTATGAGTAAGTAGGGAAACATTTGTAGAAAACACAAAAATTAGATCAGGTTTTGAAAAATGATAAATATTTACCAGAAATTTTGATTATATCTAACTGGTATGGACGGTATGGATATCGTGAGTGTTTCCTTTCGTTACATAATCTTTGAATTGACTCTATTAAACTCATTGGAAATTATGACTGTTATTTGTTTTTAAATAATAATGTAATACTTTTCAATTACTTGAATTCGAGCAACATGTACACTAATTCAGATTTAATGTGATTAAACATTTAGTTCCTCGTGCATTGACTACAAGGTGAAGAAATAGTCTTGATATGCCAAAGGCGAGTTCATGTTTCCGAGCATAGATTTCCGTGGATTTCGGATATTGCATTACTACTCTAACTCGTTTCACATTTTACTGGGTAAACATTTTTCTTGGTTTTCTCACGAATATTTCAAAATACTCACGTTTACCAAATGTATTATTTTTCATCCAAGAACAATTCTCATAAGGAGCCGTGAAACGCAAACGAATAGCAATAGTCAATGCAGGAATAAAAAAAAATACGCGTCACATGTACACTACTTAAGTGGCCAACGTACTATGTCAAGTAAACATACCAACCTCCCATCTTTTCATCTAAACCAAGGCCACTCTCCAACATATTCAACCAAAAGTGTCTATACAGGGTGAAATAAAATAAATCATCTACCGTGCTCCACTCATATTTCTTACTTTAATTCTGCACATAACCAATTCCATACCAAACTATTTGTTTCCAAGAGAGGCATTAAAACTTCGACCCAACTGCACCAGTTTGAAGGCGCGCGTCGCCCATGGCTTGATGAAGGTGCGAAGTAAAGATAGAGCTATAATCAAAAGGCTACTGGAGGAAGTAGTGGATGCCGCCCCAACCAGGGGTTTACCTTACGCTGACTTGGGAAAATACTACACGTTTGTAGAAAAGGTAAGACTTTGATAGTGAGTAAAGTTATTAAGAAAGTAAAGTAAGTCAGATCATCCAAAACTTACCGAGCAAATAAGTACCCTTTGTACGAATACATTCCTAAAGCATTTATTTAACCCTACCTGTACACAACTGTTTTTTCTTAGCTCGTCTCCAAATCATGTATACACAATTTTATCATGAAGTATTTTGTGGTGTTAAAACACAGTGATACATCCTGCGCTTTAACAAATATACCAATATATGAAGTAAAGATAAAATACAGGGTGATTGACATAAGTGTGCCAGCCGTTTTATTCGAAAACTATAAGAGATATCAAAAAAAGTTAATTGGTAAGTGCCTTGGATTTTTTATTAAAAAAATTTTAGTCAAGTCAAAAAAATTATTTTAGCTGCCATTTTTCCAATATGGCCGCCAACTTAGATTTTTCTTATGAAAAACCCTGTATTTTATGATGTATTCTGGTAGAAAAATTAATTGTAAGACGATTTATGTTTTGTGATTTTTTTCATAAACCTAACCGTTTCAAAGATAATAATTGTTTAAGTTGTGAAATTTTGAATGGTTTTCGAGCAAAACAGCTGGCATGCTTGCTTAGGCCTTAATCGAAACTCTTTCTCATGCAGAAATTTCAAAACTTTAACCATTATTATCTTTAAAACAGTTAGGTTTATGAAAAAAATTACAAAAATAAATCGTCTTAAAATTACTTTTTATACCAGAATACATCATAAAATACAGGGTGTTTCACAAGAAAAATCTAAGTTGGCGGCCATATTGGAAAAATGGCAGCTAAAATAATTTTTTTAACTGGACTACAATTTTTTTTATAACAAATCCAAGGCACTTACCATTTAACTTTTTTTGATATCTCTTATAGTTTTTGAATAAAACGGCTGGCACACTTATATCAATCACCCTGTATTTATCGTTTCCACACTTATTATTATTAAGATGTATTATTTCAGGTAAGGGGCGTGTTTCTAGCCTAGTTGTTAGTGTCTCGGCCTTCGGTGCGGAAGGGTCGGGTTCAATTCCCGGCAATCTCATAAAAACTTTATTCTTACGTTAACCTCTTGTAAAACACCACTGGCGGACAAAACAAGCAAAAAAAAGGAAAGAATTTTTACAATGGGTCCAAAAGGTTAAGCTAGTGAAGGCGATAAGATATTTTTGAGCAGGACATCCAACAATTATCAAGATTTTCCATTTGATGTCATGTTTAAAAGGATATTTAGCTATTATTCCGTGTATTTGCCTATAATCTTGTGACTATGCATGTCTTTAACACCTATTTACATGTGGTGATGCGTTGTAAACGTAAAAGAAAACAACTAATTAAAAATGTTAAAACGTATAAAATGTTTCAGGATATTCAGAAAGCAATTCTTAACCAGCAAATGGCATTTGAAATGGGAATGGCAAACGTTATGCTTTATTTGATACCATCAAAGTGGACCAATGGTTACGAACATCAGATAATTGACGATCTCAAGAAGGGTTTGGAGATTTACAATCAAAACGTTGAGAACCTTGCGATGATACATGCTTACCTCGGTACTTGCTACTTACTCATGGACGACGACTGGGCGTCCGCAATACCAAGCTTCCAGAAGTCTTTGGAATTGGATCCATCCGCCAAATGTTTGGAGGTATTTTTTTTTAGAAATCCCTATCAAGTGTTTAGCTCATCGTAATCATTAAATTTGCCTTTTATGTCATCAATCGTTCTTGAAAACGATATAGGAAGTGCACATGTATCATATTTACAGGCATATGCTTGGACAGTTATATTATTGTTAATACCATTAACAATGATATATGTCCTAATCCATTTATGTCCTAATAAATGTCCTTTACTCTTATCTGTCCTAATCGTGTTTTTTATTACTACACTTCAATGTCTGAACCATTGTCATTACTTTGCCCAATGTCCAATAAGTGAATATTAACTTTGTAAATCAACCTCACCTACTTTTGATGTAGAATATATTACTTGAAAGGTGATCGTACTAAAAAGTAAGTTTTTATGCAAACTTTTGAATTTATTTTGAGCTTGTACTTATTTTTTAACAATGTCAATTTTTAAATGTTACATTTTTTTTGTTGTTTCTCGAGGTTAATGATTCGTTTAGAAAAGAAATTCTTACAGCCATTGTAAGGGACGAATAAAAAACTGCTTAGACGTACTTATAAAAGGTTTGTATTTTTCAGAATTTCAGGAGCTTTGACTCGAAATGGGTCAATCTTCTTGAGATGGTCACAAATTATATAAATTACAACCCTATTGAAGAATGTCAAGACCAAGCAAAAGCCTTTTTACAAGAAGTCTCTGAAAAGAAACCACAAACACTTAAAATCATCAAGAAACACGATTATACATCGTGGAAGAGAGAAGTACTAAGTAAAAAGATGCATCGAGATTCCGATGCGAAATCGAGCACTGGTTCTAAACGCGTAGAAGTGAATGAGGCGATCCCGAACTCGAACTCCAACACAGATCAAGTGACCATGGGACTGCTATCAACCCAACTGGCGGAACTTGTGAAAATGGTTAACACTCTAGCTACGAAGGAGGACGCCAATACGAGGATAGGCTCTGATCTCAGGTTGGTGAGGGAGGAAGTCAATGAGCTTGACGAGAAGGTAGATGCTCTAGAGCCTCGGGTGACAGAAACTGAAGATCGCCTGGAAGTAATGGAGAATAAGATTGAAACAATGGAGCGAGCCCTGTCCGATATCGCTGGCCTGGAGGAGATTGTAAAGGAAGTGACAAACAGAATGAAACGGGCACCAAACGTAGTCCTTTACAGTCTACCAGAACAGATGGACGAGCCGTTGGAGTCTAGGATAGCCTATGACAAGAGTTTGGTAGTCAAAGTAGGCCAGGCCACTAACCAAGAGATTGACGTCAAACACATCAAGGCGCGCCGCATAGGTAAGCCCACATGGGGAAAATGTAGACCATTGGTAGTCTCTTTCGATACTGAGAAGGAGGCAAAAGCTTTCCTGAACAATTTCGATCTAGATTTGGTTAAATGTTTTCATCCCGATTAGGCCAACGTTGGAGTGGCCAGGGATAAAACTGACAGCGAATGTCAGTATTACAGGTCCTTGAAACAGGAGTTGGAGAAACGCACCAATGCGGGAGAAACAAACTTGATCATCAGGTACAAGAATGGGATACCTCAAATCTGTAATAGATACTGAATTACTTGAATTGTATCTCAGGGCTCTGCAGCATGTTGGTAAACCATAATATGAATTGCTTTTACATTTACGCTTAGTCATTTACGTTATTAATTATTTTACTAAAATAGTGGGTTGTTTAATTGCTCTAATTATGGTGTTTGGGTACATTATTGTATTTTATATAATCATATATACATTAAAATATTGTGAAAACAATGTCTGCAGAAAACTTATCCCACCCCCTACCATGACCATAAACACGTTTATAAAAATACTAGCTGGCCCGACAGACGTCGTCCTGGTCCTGTCCTAATGTGGTTTTATGTCAAATACTCGTTCATTTTCAAGATGAGCTTGTTCGCATAGCTCAATCACGTCCTGGTTGAAGTTCGTTCGCTACGCTCACTCACCTTTAGGTTGGAGCTCGTTCACTGCGCTCACTTGCCTTCAGGTTAGCTCGTTCGCTACGCTAACTCGCCTCCAGGTTGAAGTTCGTTCGCTACGCTCACTCACCTTTTGGTTGCAAATTAGCTGTTGTCATAAATATAAAAAAATAGTGCTGCACCCTGTTGGTAAACCTATTAACTTTTTAATGCTATTGAACACTACAGTTTTTACACGAAAAACTCAAACTAAAACGTAGTGATTACGCACAAATTTTGTTTTTCAAACTGATTAACCTTTCAATTCTAAATAAATCTAAAATTCTTTTGTTCTATTTTGGGTTCCACAACTCCAAAAATGTGTTATTACTATAACACCACGTAAATACTAACATAATTGTTAACCTATTTATTTACTGATTAGGTTTCAATCATACTGTCAAACCTATGTAGCTCCTAACAAAATGTCATGTGTATATTTCGGTTAGTGTACTTTATGTAAATTTAATTTTTATAACTAACCATACACGTAGAAAAAGCTACGGAAGAGGTTGATGTCAGCATGTTCATTTATCTCATTGTAAGTAATTGATTATGAGTACTTGTGTAAACTGTTTCGTAATAGTACAGTACAGTAATTATTTCATTACTAACCCAAAACTTGTTGAGATTTTGAGATTTGTGCTAAGCTTTATATTTAATCGTTATGCATTAATTAATTCGTTCTGGAGCCAATGGTTGTACCTTTTTTTATTGATTTGTTATTCATGTTGAAAATACAAGGTGTTAAAAATATCCTATTGTTACAAACGATAATATTTTGAAAGAATACTTAATACACACTCTAAAAAAGTTAAAACTCATTGTTGAGCTGTAGATTAATATTGTAAGATATATTACTTACGTCAATTCACCTCAAAATTCATAATGGTGAAATCAGGACATGTTTCAACCCATTAGTGTCATTATAAGCTGAGTAATAGTGAAGTATTTAACCAAAATGGCTTCGTCATGGTTCCTGAGTACACAAAACACGAACACGGCGTTAAACAAAAAATAATACTGTTGATACGAAAAAACACATATGTCCACGGACAACGATGCTGGGACGAGCATGCAGTTGTGCCACGGGTCGGGTACAGCAATCTTTAGAGAGCTATTTTGTTTGGATGTCTACTTGTAGTCTTGGTGTTCTGTGTACTCAAGAACCATGGCGAAACCAATTTGATGAATATGCTTCTCTGGTTTTCAGCTGATGACACTAATGAGGCGAAACCTTTCCTGATTTCCCAATTCAGAATTTTGAGCTGAATATACGTAAGTATATATCTTACGGTATTTATATAGATAAAAAGCTATTAACAAATTATTATATTGGCTAAATAAAAAAAATGATTCGAATATGTTAAGAATGGCAATGTTAAGAAATTCAAAATCCAAAAACGGCTGTTCGTAGTCTGTTGCTCTGTAAAATCCACACGTACAACGGATGGACACAGAACAGATACATCCACTCAAACTAGAAATTGTTGACGAAAACAATAGTTTCCCCATATGTAGGCCTATAGGGTGAGAAAGTATAAAAAATAGTGGGTGTGAAACTAGTTTTTATATAATTTGAGTTCTCTAACAATTAGTCGACAAACTGAACATATATTGTGTAGGTAACTTTCTACGTGTTTTATTGCCTGCACAGAATGGACACAAAACTAAATAGTCATTGGAAAAAATGACTAAATAGTCATTTAGAATTTAAATATTGATCTAAAAAATAATATATAGCTCAGTTTTGAATGTGTTTATTTAGAGAAAGATGTTAATTGAAGTACGTTCTGTGGAGTTGTTAATTTGATTCTCACAGACAATTAGTATTGTGCAAAGTTTCTCCACGATTCGACAACTTTTGTTTTACTCCGTTTACCTTACTGGTATTGTGTTCTATACCTGTAGCTTGTAAAGGTTTAGCTTTAGTGTGGCCACGGTCACTGGCTTAATCTATCTTCTCTAACAATAATTAATTTGCTTGCGGAAAAACCAATTAAAAACTTTGAAATCTATTTACAATTAAAATTATATAATGGCCAGAAATATACAAGAATGTAGTTTACACGAGAACTTGCCCTGTGGTTGAAAACTCGACCAAAGGTATGTAGGCCCTATGTATTATGCAAACCTCTCTATTTTTAACCCATGATAAAACATGTAATTGGAATATATTCAATTTGTTTTGATTTTCTGTTTATATTTTGTTGTTATTTCGTCACCAACATGGCAATCCATAAGACCCATGTTATTTTTTTTATTTACAATTCATTTGTTGTGCTTATTTTTTAGCCTATTTTAATTTATACTGCATATGGAAATATTTATCATTTGGTACCAACCACGTGTAATTCGGTCCATTCGGTATATATATATATATATATCCGTCCGGACAATAACTTGAGTAATTTTTATCCGATTTTGATTAAATTTGGTTTGAAGGTGTAAGGTGGGATAAACTTTGAATGAGTTCGCGAACCAGTATGATCGGACCATGGGAACGGGGTTTAACTGGTGGTTTTATGGGGTAAAAATAGGTTTTTTCATTTTTGACACTCAACAAAACAAATTCCAATTTCTCTATAGACTTTCTTAAAGAGCTTAAAAAAATAATCAAGTATATCAAAGTGTACACCAAATTGTATTTAAAATTAGTAACAATAAATCAATGGATGTTTTAATTTCGATGACAGTAACTCAGCTCTTTTATCATGAAATCTGAAGTCAATTAAAATATTAATTCATTATTAAGTCAAACAAACTACACAAAAATAAGTAATGACTAGGAAAAAGAAAGGAGTATTTTTAATAAAATAATTGATTTGTTTATGGACCATAAGTTAGTGAAATGTTTAGAACCATTCCATTTGTTGCCCAGATTTGCTCTCAAGAGCTGAACTGTGTAGTCGGAAGCAGCTCTAAGTGGTTTTGAGGTTTAAAGTTCACACAGCTTTCTAACGTATAGCGAGGTCCGCTCCGCAGTTCCTACGAGGGCGATTCTATAAGACGCAATCTAAACGGATAATAACGAGCTAGGTCAACTAGAAAATACATGGCACCACTTGGAACTATAAGTGGCACTTTAAATTTCAGTTCCATTTAACAACAAGTTTTGTGAAAGTTATGATAGTCCTTTTGTTGGAAATATGTTGCAGTGTTGGCAAGAAAATATCTTCCTATACTATTCACACGTGAAAGTAATTAAAGGAATATTTAATTAATAATCTTCGAATTAATAAAAACAAATCTTTTCACCGTTAGAACTTAAAGTATAGGAGGTATACATGTGTTTCCATGCGAAAATACAACCAATGATGGTAATTGTGATAAATTTAGTATTTTTTGTTTATAAGATGAATATAGACTATTAACAATCAAGCTAAATAAGACCTACATTTTATCAGTCGTTGTCTTATACTCGTTTAAAATAGATACACAGACATTTAAAATGCTTAATATCTGGACACTGTTGACGTTCTCTCAGGCGTTTAGGTTTGAACACGATTGTCCCTGGAGTATTTGTGACGAAACAAGCAAGTTTTTATTTTTTTAATATGCTTCTTTACTTGAAGGATACTGTTTAGTTCTTACTGGAAATTAAAATATTCACAAACACTATTAAATCAAACTTTCCAGCTAGTATTTTAATTTTAGATTAGTAAATAAATAGAAATATGAATATCTAGAAGTATATCCCTTGAGGTGAATTTGTGTAATCTGCATAGCAAAAGGTTTATATAAACAGCAATAAGATAAATAATCCGGATAGCGAGTCAGTTTGTTATGACTAACCGTGCAAACCAATTAGAATTGGTAATGACTTTAAATCGTAAACAGTTGGCTTATAAATATTTACACTCCAGAGAAATAAAGTTCCAACACACGTTACAATTAAAAAGTTACCCCATTCACAAAAAAAATTGCATAATTATAACAAAGAATAGATGTTACTATAAATATTTGCGACGCTGCTTTCTGCACTGGAAAAATAAATATTAAAAGTGCAGCAGTCGCAACCGTTTGCCGGGGATAGCTCAGCCTACAATGGCTGGGTAAAATTCCAGGGTCTGCGATAAGGTCAGGGAAACCACTAGGCCAATAGCCGGGTCTAACCGGTATAGGACTGGCTCATACACGGGCACTGTGAACAAGTCAAAACCAAGCCACCAAAACAAACGTGCAATAATCACTACCAGGCCTACGCCGATTCTCCACCCTCCTAGGGGGTCGTTGCTGACTACGCAACTCGGGCTTCGTCCTAACTATCCAATAGTTAAGCCCAGAGTGCCTAAAACACGGTGAGTTACACGACGACTTGCCAACAAAACCCACGACGCGTGTTATCACCAGGCGGGGTCTACTAGGCCACTATAATCCAATACACAACTCTATTGCCCAAGCTAACAATCAAACAGTTCACTCAATAATAATACCAGATAACAATACAAGTGCACTATAGGTAGAGTGTCTACACCACTAATAGCTGGTCTCAACAAATACCAAGCCAAACAAGCAAAGCTAAATGGCAATTACACTACTATTAAATTATTGAGCTACTTAGTAGTAGATAAATAAATATTAAATACGTTCCAAACACTAGATAAATGTATTATCTGATAGCCGGTACTCCGCTATCCAAGCTACCAAGATAACGTGTTGGATTACCAAACAAGCTGTTCAGGTTAAATTAAAATAATCAAATGATTAATCAATAACAACCCTACTACTGTTACTGCTACTACCAACTTTATGTTACTTAGCTGGGCTTCTGTTAATAGGCT